GTGTTTAGGATCAAATTGTTTTGTAATATGTTATGTTTTATTGAAATGTATGACTCTGTAAAAAAGATAATATGTATTGACACGTGAACTGTAAATGATCAARTTGCTGATGAAGTCCTCAGTAASGGACGAAACGTAYAACTAGTTCAAAATAAATTATTCATAAGATTTAATAACCGTCTATAATTCTCTTTGAGACTTATATATTAATTCTAAATAATATTTGCAAAAGAAACAAAAAAAAATATATATATATATATTAGGTGATCGAGTTGCTGAGGAAGTCCCCAGTAAGGGACGAAACGTTCAACAAGATCAAATAAATTTGTTCATCAAAATTTATTAACTGTCTTCAATTTTCCCTTTGAAACTCATATATATATATATATATATATAATTAGAATTGTAATTAGATAGATTTAATATATCCATTTTAACGATATTGATTTTATTTTGTTATATTATATTATATTACTCATTTTATATATATTTTGTTTGTTCATTTATTTGTTTTGTTTTAATTACAAAAGTTTTAATATATACATATAATAATTTTTAATAAAATTAAAACTGTCCAGTCTTTCTTTGTTCATCTTTTTTATTTCTTTTTTTCTTCCCTCCCCGAATTTATTGCAATATTATGAATATTACTTTTAAAGTAATATTATATACTTTGTGTACGTTTAATACGAATCATTAATTGATTTACATTTGTATTTTATCACGATACCAGTTAAAATATAGGATTAATAATATTCTATGTAATGCGAGAAAAGGGAACACGATTGGAAGCTTCATTCGACGTGTATTATTCTGTTTCACAAAACAATACTGAATGAAATGAAATACGAAATGATGGGGGAGAAAAAAAGAAAGAAATAAAGAAAGAAAGAAAGAATAAAAGACAAAATTAATTTCCTCGTCTAATATAATATCATTTTATATTTCCAATTTATTTCCACTACATTTTATACTCTCGCATTTCTTTGCAATTTTTAATTAATTCATAAGAAAGAGAAGTGCGAAATGAAAAGGAACGAAAAAAAAAAAGAATATATATAAGTAATTTAAAAAACTGTGCTCCGATTTATAACAGGATTCAGAGCAGAAAAATTATACGTCGCGTAAAAAGATATTGATGCAAGATAAAAGAAGAAAAAATGTGAAAAAAAAAAAAAGAAAAAAAAAAAGATATATAAATATGTTAGACATCATAAAAACGAATGAGCGAAATTTTAAAAATATTCTCTATATATATATATATATATATATAGAGAGAGAGAGAGAGAATAAAATAATAGAATAAAATAAAACAAAAGAAAATTACTCAATCTTGAAAATACACATTCGATAATTTATTCGTTATGTGAATTTTAAAATGCGAGGAAAAAAAAAACGAAACCCAATATTACTTTTTGCAAAGAAAAACCTAATTAAATAATAATCGAAGTAATTAAAAAGAAGATGAAAAAAAAAAGGAAAATACGCACACACTCTTACGTTATTCTTATAGTATATGATACACATTTTTTGTTTTGTTTTAATAGGAATACTTCATTTGAATGAAATAATAATTGAAATATTGTATTTGAAAATGTTTATAGGATTTTTCTCCCATACTATTATCGGTAACAACGTTATCAGTGATGTTAGTATCATCGTTTACTCTATTGGTGATCTCACAATTACCTTCTACGTTAACATCAGCAAGAACTAGATTTCTCGTGGGACAACTATCATCTGTTATACTTGGATTTGGTATCTTGATACTTGGCGGTGCTATTCCAATGTTTGCTTGTATCCTTTCGATTACGGCAGCCCTACCAAGGATTAACAGAAGGCTCAGACCTACAATTGGACCTTTCTTCCTTGCTATCATGCACGTTGTACAAAGATTTATCTTTGAGAAAGAATTGATCGATCAAAAAATCAGTCAAGTAAGTTTTATATATATATATTAATCTCAAATTTTATTATATATTTTTATTATAAAATATTTAATTTAATTATAAAATATTAAAATATTAT